ACGTTAAATAACCAGAGGGTATATCCCATTAATATCCTATCCTCGACCTGTCCGTCAAACTCACCCATCAAGGCCATGCGGTGATTTTGGGCAGGCTTCAAATTTAGTTAAATTATTATCCTATCATATTATCGTGTTACATTACCTATTCATACCTATTACTGTACTATAACATTATCTATTCCCAACATAATCCCCATTCTGATTCTGATTCTGAGTTTTTCGTAGCAGGGACCATTCTGTTCCGTAGCAATTTTAGTGAAGATTTTTTTAAATATCCATATTCTATCTACTCTACTCCAGGATGACTATATATATATATGTATATATATGTATATATATAGATATACATATATACATATACATATATATATACATACATATATATATACATATATATATATACATATACATATATATATACACATAATATATATATATGTATAACCAATGATGATCTGATTGGTGGGTTTTGAAATGGTCCAATCCCCCTAGAGATGAAGGTCTTCTATACATATTCAATAGCAACCACTGGTTCATCGAGACCTTGGGCGAAGAATCGCTGCTGTTTCGATGGTTCAGCGCGATGCCTCATGGCCATCATGATCCCAATTTGATGTCCATCCTTTAGTGTGGCTCCATAGTAACAACCATTAAATTTAGCGACTTGAAGTCCTAAATCTTGCCGATAAACCATGAGAAACATGTCCACCTGCCTTTGGTTATCGTATACTAAGTATATCATATCATCTAGCAAAACTTTGTGACGGTTCTGTTGTTTAAATCAGCATCCAAAGTTAAAACCCCACTGGTTATATCTGGTGAACTATCTGGTTTAGTAGAAGGTTATATTTGGTATTGATATAGTTTAATAGAAACCTGTAAGAAACCTGTAGAAATCTATAGAAATCTATAGAAATCTATAGAAACCTGTAGAAATCTATAGAAATCCCAACCACAACACCGTCGAAAATTGTCGTTTTCGGTGACTCCATTTTTGTTCCACCGAGGCTACCGGCACTTCTTGCGGCCGCCCTTGGTGGATGTCCGGGGGCCCGGTCTGGCCGGTGGGCAGAGCATTGCTGGTGTTTTAACTGACAAAACATGGAGATTCAACCAGTGAATTAATCAGGCTTTATATAATTGTGGTATAATGGATGATGGGTGAACCATGAAACATGGATTTTTTGAATATCATGCTTTAATAACGTGGTACCCTCTGGTAAACAGCCACATAGCTATGGAAAGATCCACCATTGAAACAATGGGAAAATCCACTATTTCTATGGTCATTTTCAATAGCTATGTGGCTGTTTACCAGAGGGTATAATGGGTGATGGGTGAACCATGAAAATTTTGAGTTTGCATCATCAAAAATACGATGGGATTTTTTGGCAAGAACATAGGGGTACTGAAAGGGTATTCGGCCATTGAACTTTCTTGGGATCCAAGCATGTGCTACTTATAAAGCCGACCTAATGGCTAGAAAATCATGAGCGAATTGTCAATCAGATAGCTCGAGGAGGCTCGGCTGGGGCGGTTCTCTATGGGGACACCTCAAGATTCGGCGTCTTCGTTTCAATCATGATTTCTGTTTGTTGCTTGTGGGTTATGGTCTCAAATTTAATACATGTGCTATTCATGTATGACCCACCAATCCATGTGTCCCAGATCTGCATTTGACACCGTGGTATCTGGCTGCTCAGGGGGTTGATCCAGGCTGGCTTTGTGCCCGGTCTGGCAGTCTGGCAGGAAGATGTTGGCTGCCAGTGGCTATGTAGAGCCAAGGGACTCTGACTTGATTGATCTTCATGTTGTATGCCTGAATGGTGAAGGATGCAGGTTGAAACGGTTGAAACTTGGGACTTAGCCACTCTGGGGCGGGACGTGCGATGGTTTCCAAGCACCTCCCAAAAAAGGTGGAACACTCGCTCTGCATCACCAACGTTGCAACAAAGAATCGTGGGGGAAGCTGCAACGCTCTCGTGTACATATGTTCCAACAAAATCCAACAAACCTCTATGCTGCATCGTGCTTCTTGTACGGAATCCCAGTCTCTGACGGAGAGATTGCACTAGAAGGGGTGACCAAGATAGAAGGTATAGCAAGAAGTGCCCCTGCCAAACAGTCTTCAAAGCTTGACATTTGGCCAAGAATTTATCCAGAGCTTGCAAGGAGTGATGCTGCCAAGCAGCCTTGAGAGCTTGACATTTGGATACTGTTTCAACCAGAGGCTGCAAGGAGTGCCCCTGCCAAGCAATCTTCAGAGCTTGACATTTGGCGATCGTTTCAACCATAGCTTGCAAGGAGTGACGCTGCCAAGCAGTCTTCGGAGCTTGACATTTGGTAAACGTTTCAACGCGAGCTTGCAAGGATTGCCCCTGCCCAGCAGTCTTGAGAGCTTGACATTTGGAGACAGTTTTAACCAGGGCTTGCAAGGAGTGACGCTGCCAAGCAGTCTTTGGAGCTTGACATTTGGATATGATTTCAATCAGAGCTTGCAAGGAGTGACACACGGCACTCTTGAGAGCTTGACATTGTGCGGCTGCAAAGTTTCCATTACAAGCTAGAAGGGGCTGCTGCCAATCTCTCTTGACCAATTTGTATGGCTCCATGTGTATGCGCAGGCTGTGATAGGCTGAGGACTACAAAAAGAGACACTATAGAGACACCTTCATGCCATTTTAAGCAGCTGATTATGATCCTGATGTTCAATGTTGACAAGGCCATACAAGGCCAATACTAATGCGGATTCTTGCCGTTTGTGTGCCGACTACTGTTCGTAAATGAATGTTCTATCCGTTGGTCTTGTGAAGTCGGCTTGCCAGTTTTGTCCGTAGACATGGACTTATTCTGCAACAGGTGCGCATGTTGCTTGATTTTGGCCCATGTTCGCCAATATTCCTGTTTGTTGTCAGTTTTTGCGGGTGCAATGGGCTCATTATATTGTTATTATATTGTTATTATATGTTATTATATGTTATTATATAGTTATAGTTATAGTTATAGTTATAGTTGTTGTTGTTGTTGTTTGTTTGTTTGTTTGTTTGTAATTTGTTGGCCAGGCTAGGCCCTTTTCTTGTCAAAAAAGTGCTCATTGTTGGTTTTCGCTGGTCTACTCTTGTCCTTGACCTGCGTACTGTCATGGACAATGCGAAACCAGGCCCATAGGCCCATAGCCATACCTATGACTTGTATGACACAGAAATTCCATGAATTCCAATCCTTGTTGATTAGATTCTGATAGTTCTTGGTTGCTCATCCCCATTGTCGGTGAATCGCGTTGTCTGACAGCCACCTGCAACGGAAGCTGGACGCTTTGACCGTTGCAAACATGGATAGTCGTGGTTGAAACTGCCACATGTATCCAAATGTGAATTATTTCCACTAATGCGTTGGATTATGCTTCAAATGCGTCTGCTTTGGCCACCTGAATTCATGGTAGAAGTATGTATAATATATATATAATATATGCAATATATATATATATATATTGGTGATAAATGGTGATAAATTCCGTAGAACTGGGTAACAAACTGGGTCTTTTCGAAAAAACACCGCGCTCCACGTCGTGGTTTCATTTCGGCCTGGACGGACACTCTGACGGACCAAGCGTCGTCGTCTGCGTTGAGCAAGTGCGACCGGCACATTGGTAAAGTTGGTAAAGCCATGTAAAGCCACAAAAATCGTCAACAATCCACAATCTCTCAGGATCTCTCAGGATCTCTCAGGGCAGAAGAAGTGGTGACGTTTGGTAGGTTTGGTAGGTTTATCTTTGGGACATTTTGGGACAACCAAAAACCCCTCAGAGAACAGACATTTCACGAATCAATGACCTTCCAAGATCTTTCACCAGGATCAGCTGGATATACACGAACGAGGCATTTAAGGCATGCATCGGATACGGACATTTTAGTGCTGGTACAAGAGAACATACCGGGCATTTTATGATGGCTAGATTCACGTCCTTGATGGTCAAGCCCTGATATTTTCGTGTTCAAGTCCAAACTTTGTGATGGGTCAAAATCCATTTTTTGGATACATCCAATGATTTAAGTGTATGATTGTATGTATGTAAGTGTAAAAACTCAAGAAGAGCGATTTTGTGATGGACGAAATTCCAATTTTCATGGTCAACTCCCCATTGATTCTATGGTTTTCGCTGCAGCGTTGCCAGCTGAGGTGGACGTCTTGGCAAGCCCAGAGGCAGACCCTGCACAGGCGCAGCAGTGTTATGCATGAATAGGGAGTTGATAATGGGTGAAGAATGGTGATTAATGGTTAATTATGGATGAGTAGTGGCTAGAAATGGGTGTGAATGGAACTTCATAGTGGTTATGAATGGATGAATGGTTGATAATGAGTATAAACATTGCAATAACCTCCATGAAATGTAGTACGACCAAGCCCCTCTAACCATGGCGATATTATATTACATTATAGTATATTATTATACTATATATATATATTATATATATCATATTTTACTATATTTTACTAGATATTATATTATATTATATTATAATATATTATATTATATTATAGTATATTATATTATATTATATTATATCATATCATATTATATCATATTATATTATATTATATTATATTATATTATATTATATTATATTATATTATACATCCAATCTTATCTGATCGTAGCCGTAACTGCACATCATCTGTGTATGGATTCCGGAGATGATCTTCATGCTGATTCAGCCGTTTTTTTTGCGACCCCGAGCTACATCGCACATCTATTTTCATGTTCCATTTTGGGTTGAGGAAACTCCGAACTTTGAATGATTTTGAATGATGAATCATGTTGAACCCATTTGAAGCCCACTTCTGGAGATTTTTTTCAAGACATCTCATGATATATGAATGTGGGTCAAAACCCTGTACCCCCAGTGAACCTCAAGGTTGATGGTCATCCCTTATACCACATGATTAGTAGGTTTTGACCCATACCCATATCATAGACTGTATCACCAATACAGCCGATGTGGAGTCACAGCGTTCCGCGGCTCCGCGTCCACAATGGAGTCATCTCCGTCATCTCCCGACAGATTCGCCTGCCCGAATGCTACGAGCTGCTCACGGGCGACTTGAATTTCTATTCCCCGTGCCTCGCAGCAGGGACTGGTGGGAAGTTTCACACAGGAAGGGACCCAAGGGACCCAAGTTCGAAAGGTTTCAGTTGGTGCAATCGGGATAGGGTTTAGGATGGACATAACATGACATAGCTACAGTCGTATGGTGTGAAAGCCAATAAATGATGTAAATTGGTGTGTACTTTCTTGTTGGATTATGCACTTTCTTGTGAATTACAAGTTTCAGAATGCATTCTCAGTGGTAATGGGATAACTCCCATCGCAAACCATCCCAAATTTATCCGAGGGAATAAGCTGAATGAACGAAGATACCGAAGTAAATTGCGGTAAAAATGGTCGGTGGGACCACAATGCAACTGCAGGAACAAAAACCTGGTTGGTGGTTTGGAACATTTTTTATTTTCCCGTATATTGGGAATGTCATCATCCCAACTGACTTTCATATTTTTCAGAGGGGTTGAAACCACCAACCAGAAACCTTGCCAAGAACTGGGGAGCTCGATGGTTCGAAGTCTGAAGCCACTAAAAAAAGGGGAACGAAGATCCTCCAGGTCGAATGACCCGGCGGCAATGGAGAAGTTGGATGAAACAGGCACTGATCACTTCACAGCGGGTCCTTGGGGCGGAGAAGTCATAGGAATTTGCCAGCTATTCCTGCGGGAAGAAGGGATTGAACTATAGACATCGTGAGATTGCCAAATCATAAGGTGACCATCACAGCTTTTGGGTAACCGTACACAGCAAAGACGCGGGTGAAATTCTGCAGCGTCCAAAAACATCAAAGTGAGTGCGGGGCAATTTTCAGCATAGGTATAGGCAGTTGCTCGGCCCAAGAAACTATTTGGAAGATGACCGGAGAAGTTTCTGGACCAGGGGTTCCAATATTCCTCAGGGTCAGACCTGACTGTTTATCGGGATGATGTTTCCAGCTATTGCCAGGCTGGCTTCCACCACAAAAAAGGGTATATCAAAGATAACGAGATGAGTAAGCAACCAGAATCGTGGATTGATCGGGCAGAATCAATTGCCCAGACAATGATAGAGAATGTATACCTAACCTTGCCCAGGGCGTTTTCATGAGTTGAATGTGTTGGGACTAAGCCACAAGTGAGAGCGCTGTAACCTGTCAGGCTTGGGTGTGGCCAAGCAAGCAGGCCTGGGCTTTGTTCACGAAATCAGCTGAACAGGTACAATTGACTCAGCCCCGTGAGACATTTCTCCGTTTGCTTTTGCTACGTTACATTACATACTTTCATAGTTTTTGGGGGCACTTCTGGCGTTTTTCCCAGTCTGATCCCAGGATGGTGTAGTGCCACGACCACATCCAGATCCACTAGCCCCAGTGCTGAATAAGCCTTGGTTGAGAAGGCTAGTGGCTTTTAGTCCAAGCTACAAATTACTATGGAAATTTAAGATATCCAGCCAAAACTCGCTAGCTTTGGGCCATTGCCCTTGGCCTCAAGTTTCAAGCTATAAGGAAATTTATTGGCTCATACCCACAGCCACGAGTGGACCGTTGGCAGGGAAGCACGTCTACGTCATCGGCCAGCGTTTCGATGCCTGGGAAAACTGGACGGCAGAGTCTGGGTGCTCAGCAGATGGGGCTGGATGAGAAGCTGCTTGAAACACAGCATGACGGGCTCGCTGCGAATGACCAGCGGGAGTAGGTCAGTAGGTTTATAATTCCAATTTTTTCCAACCACTGCGATAATATATATATATTTACATTACCTACATATACATCAGTACTATTCCATAGCTGATTCTTCCAGGCTATCTAACAGTTAGCAGGTTCACAATTGCGCTGGTTAGCAGCTTGAAGAAAAAGTCCCATTGATTGGTGAGTCCGGGGTAATTGACCACCAATGGGGCTCTATACTCCCAAGCAACTCTAAGAAGTGGGGAACACTATGGAAGTGACACGATTGAAGAAATTGGAAATGGATTTGTCAGAACCTGGAAAATGTCAACCCCTGGAAAGTCTTCAGATTCCTGAAATCGACTATCAGAATGGGCTATGTGATCCCCAGTTCTTGGGACGCAGGAGGACAGGATAGGTGTGATGTCCCAAGCTTTCTGGAGGACCCATCTCAGAGCTTGATCTTTGCTACTTCAGTCCCCTGGAAGCTAATCAGCTAATCATGGAAGCCCAAAAAGTGGCTTAGGTGCCACGATTTCTTGTTTGAGATACCAAAATAACCAGCTTTGGGTTCAGATTTCAATTCTGCTTGGACAATTCCATGAGGCGAATGCTTTCATGGGGGTCGATGTTTATCTTCACTGACCAGCAGTTCCTGACTTGCCATTGGGTTTCCTTTAAGGGGACGCCACCCTTGTGAGCCGAAGGCTTTTAGTCGAGCCATACCCAACTGCCGGATGCACAACATGATTTCAGTATGCATGTACCATATCTTCTATATTAGATACGTGGTATATATATATATATAACTAATTATCATTAATTATTATTATTATCATTATACACGTTCACTCCTGTTATCATCTGTTTACTGTTTGTCTGATTTGTCTTGATCGTCACTTGATCTCGATCCATTTGTGTTCTACCCTATGCTACCCTATGGACCTCCCTTCAAGGTTTGTCTGAGCACCTAGTCCAGGTATCCCATTCCTATCCGTCGGCTCTGCAACCTGAAGCTTGCCTTCGTTCCTTGGTTTGGGACTTGCTCCCAAAACTGGCAACATCCCCAGACCCCAAAAAAGATTCCCAATGACTTAATTTGCTTTCACGGCTTCAACAACCAAACATAAGAAGTCTGATATATCGTAAATTTTTGGATAGAGCCATCCTCATACAAAGGTCGTATCCAGCTTACATGGTCAACATCCGGCATCTCTTCCATTTTCACGGGTCCAAAAACTTGTTTTTTTTCCCTACACGCTGAAGGATCCACAGGGAAACTCTTGCACTTTGGGCCTGGCGAGCCTTCTGTGTCCTTAGGTGCCACGGGTGCCTGAGAATGTCACGGGCCCTCCCAGCAATGCGTCCGGATCTGAAGCTGGAGCTGAGGGGAGCCGATTCAGCACTGCTCCATACCAAACATAGACAGCAACTCAGGGTGGGCGTGCACGAGCCGCGCTTTGTAGAGACAGACGGAGAGGCGGGGTTGGCTTGTGGGTGATAGAAAATGTGATAGTTCGAAGAATAGGATGACAATATTTCCGATGGCAGTTCGCTTCCCTCGAAAGGGCTGTCTTATGTCTTATAGTTTTTTCCTTAATGTTTCTTTCTCAGATGCTAGCAGTTATACCGTTATACCTATTAAAGTAGTTGGTAGTCTATGGGCTGAATACATATTCTCCAAACCGTCAACAGCCATTGGTTTCCCTCAAAGTGAGCCATTGTTGAGGATTCAAACAGTCCGAAATTCGCACTCCGTGGCCCCTCTCCTGGTTTTCAGAAGGTCAACTGTGACCTCCAGGTGAAGTTGCCTTGGCTGGGCGCACCGTACCGAGCCGCAGGTGTCGGCATCTCCGCGGTTGAGCTGTGGCTACTGGGGAGGATCGTAATCATCCTTATTGATCTTTACATTGGGTGATTTAAACATGGATAAACAAGAGCTAGATAGTCCCAGTATCTTCCAGATGAAGCCGTGCGTTTTAGCAGGAGAAGCCCATGAAAATGGGCAATTCTGGCTCGAGACACTCAGCGCGTCAAGGCAGATTGTTTGCGACAATGTTGGCAGCCGGTGCCGTGCCAGCCGTGTGATCGCTGGTGCCGCTTCGACCAGGCCGAACATTGGAGACAGTCGATTGAGTTGAAGAAGTTGATGGCTGGGAAGTACCTTTGAAATCCTTTGAAAGGATACGATCACTCAACAAGCTTGGTGATGGTGGAATGATGCCAGAAAATGAAAGCTACAAGCATTGCCACAGGAGTCAGTGCTGCAGTTGGGAGAATTGAGATGTCTGCTTTAGTAAAGTGTGGTAGAAGTCTGGTAGCACGGCTTGGATTATATGGCCTGTGGCGGTGGTTCTTGGGCACAAGGAAGTGGCCTGAAACTTTCAGGAGGCAACAACCAGTTGTGGAGATAGACCGAGATCCATGTTACTGGTCCAGCCACGTGTTGGAGTCTGGGATATATGCTGGTAAGACTTTCGAGGAGATGTGGTAGACTTTCGAGATGTTGAGGCGATGTGCAAAATCACAGGAAGCTCGCGACTATTTGAAAGGCTTGCATGGCATAGCACAGCGACAAGCCGACCAGTCTTGCAACCACCAAAGGGAAGGACGTTGGGATGAGTGAAATTGAATTTGCAATGCTTGCGCCTGATTGCAGAGATGATGTGCGTTCACTTCTCTTCCCAAACGAAACACCATTCAGACTGTCACCGAGCTGATGCAGATACTTTAGGCCGAGCCACTACCCAACAATCTTCAACATTAACCATTAATAGATGGTTTATCATATCATTATTGTTAATGGTATCATTAATATGGTTAATATTCAATATACTATACAAAGAAGGATTTTTGACAGAGGGTGGACAGAGCCAATCGAGTCGCTTCGACTTTCAGAAGACCTATGAGGTGCACCGATTGTGCAGCGGATCTAAACTGAACGATGGAGATCCAAGGTTCGAAATTAAAGCACTATGAGTGAAGCTACGAAGACTCAGTCAGAGAAATCTACACCGAATCCACTTGTGCCACATATGAATATGAACGGGATGGCTCAACAGCTAAAAATTTCACAATACATTCAGAATACAAGCCGAAAGTCATGGTGAAACAGCAAAGCAACCACAGACACACTTTTGAACAGCTTTACAGACTTGGAGAGAGAATATGTAAACTTAAAACCATATGACTTATGACCATAGCTCAACTATATGAGTGTTTGATACATTCCTTTGGGCTAGGAAGTTAGTTGTCTCGTGGAACGTAGGCGCTGTTTAATGGCACGTGGTTGGCTGGCACACTCCGATGAAACTCACGAAATTTTAGCCAGCACAGCAGAAAAGTGAGCCATGCGTCAGGTCTGTTGTTCACCGCGCATTCTCGATATCCCAGAATTTTGTCCATAAGACACTAAGGTGTACTTGTCCATTTTCTTGATAAGATTTTTCTGCAAACGTTGCAATTGCAAAGTTGCTTGTTTGCACCCGGGGCAACCTTCGTGAAAACTGCTCAGAATGGCTGGCTGCGAGGGGGATCATGCCATTTTTTCTGCTGAAAGCTGTTGGTCTTCCCTTCGTGGATTCTGACCAAAGGTGCTGGAGACTCCTCAGGCGGATAGCCAAGGGGAGCCCGGAAGAGTGGATGCAAAAATATGGGGTTCTCTGAAAATATGGAAAACGTCATGGTGAATTAACATGAATTAACTATTTTTCCATATTTTTCCCTATTAAGCGGCTATTTTCGGAGCGTCCACCATTTGAGGAATATGACTATGGATCAAAACCTTGATTTCCTGTTGTTCACACCGAAAGTCGGTGCTTACGGGTGTCCATGCCCTCATTCAGATAGTCCATGATAGTCCCATACTATAAATACTGACCCATACCCGTATGTAAAATTCTACTGAAGATCGCCCGAGACATGTACATCCATCATTTTGAGCCCTTGCCGGCGTTTGAACATTTTCTGATTCAGCTTCGGCAGCGGTGTATCATTCTTGAAAAGGTGGGAGATGAAAGGCACCTTCAGATGTCACTGATGACTGAAGTACCCTGAGTCACCCCAAAATAGACAAACTGCTGGTTCTTGACTTTTAATTTCGTTGCTGGCTATGCAGTTTGGGCAGCGATATCCATGAAAGTCATGGTACCTGGTACACACATCTTTGCTACCATACTTATACCATACTTATACCAGGAGAATGACGCCCTGGAGATATCCTGCGAACTCTAAACTCAGCCCCTCAAACGTCAGGCTTTGAAGTTTTCGGGGAATCTGAGCAGATCAGAGAGGTGCATGGTAAGGGTGGACGGTAGAGCCCCTATTCAAATTCTACGGCCCTGTAACGATCTATATGGTCTATTTTGCAAAACGGCAAAAGGTTATAAAAGGCTTATGATATGTAATGTTTCTTTGTTCGGACATGTTTGGACATGCTTGGAATTCCGCAATTTAAACATTGCCTGCTCAGAATGGCGTTCCAAATCCAGCCCCCATCAAGGTAATCTTACATTATATATATATATATCCACAGTTTTCCAGAGTAAACATATCTGAATATATTGGAAAAATGTGATTTCCTGCACCTGCCAGTCCAAACATAGCTATCACTGGCTATCACCATTTTTGGCTGAGACGCCCCCCCACGTCACGATGATGTCCACCACGCCCACTACCGATACTGTCACGTGTACCCTCGCACACCAGTTGGTAGATTTGTTCCCACGTCCACAATACATCCCATTTTAGGCATGGGGGAAGTTGGCATGCAGTCTTTATGAATGAAAATTGGTGTGGCCGGTCAGGTCTAGCAGGTCAGGCCTAGCAGATACTGTAGGTGTGCGCGATGTATGTATGCATGTAGATGTATACATGTATATACGTACTGTATATTGAATATGCACTATATATATACACGGTATAATTACACAGTACTGATATAGTAGTTGCTATATATATATATATATGTATTGTACACTTGAACTTTATATACATATAGACAAGTTGCTGATAGTTGATGGGTTACTTATCTTTCCAGTCCGCATGACTTGTTGCGGCAGGCTTTGCTAAATGATTTGATCAAGGATGGTCTCATCACTCACAGGTGACAGCTGTGTGTGATCCGTTCAAAACCCCTGGTGGATGATTACAGGGAGCACAATACTAAGCGATAGTCGTTGAGGATTATCATTGCTTCATCATCCACAAACTGGGAAATCATCCATGAACAAAAGAGTATTTTCAGGGACGGCAGAGGGTCTTGAACACTGCTCAGATGTTGCCCCTCAGGACTTGGACCATTCATGTGCGAACTGGGAGTTTTCGATGGAATATTCCTTTGGTCATAGAATTGGATGGTGGGAAAATTTACAGGAAAGCCCTATATTTGATGGTAAAAACCATGGTTTCCTGTAGATTTTCCCTTAAACCAATCCAGTGATTTGGACATGAAACTTTCAATGGGTATCAGAGTTTGGCACTAACTTCAAGCAGGGCAACAAGGATGCAGTCCCTGACGTCATGTAGCGTCCATGAATGTCGATAGCCGTTGGTATTTGTTCGGTAAATGCGCAATCGGGCGGTGGCCTTTTGTTCAAGGATGAAGGGAGGATATGAACAACACACGTTCATACCTTTTTGTGATTGGTTGTATAGAAGTCCCCTAGTTTTTTTTTTGCCTGAGCTTTTAGTGCAGTTTTCTTGAATTCGTGTTTTTCCTCCAAAAGGATTTTTGACATCTCATTTTTTGCCCCCATGCTATGCCCCCAAAATCCACAGAAACAGCCGTTGGCTGCAGGGCTTTGGAAGTTCCAGTGGATCCTCACCCGGGGCAACGAGGAGCTTTGATTCCGGAGATGCTGGAATTTCTCATGGAAAAAGGAGGAGAATCGAACCCAAAGATCCACATATTGAAGTTGGAAATAGTTGGAATCTGTTGGAAAAGCGTCAAAAATTCGACCTGTTGTCACGAGGAAAGCCTTTGACTCCGTGTCTCTTCTTTTCAGTCTACGACGAGTTTCATCCTGAGAGTGGAGGAAACATGGAAACTGGTGGGTGATTGCAGATTGTATCCAATACTTCTGGGGGATATTGCTGAAACCAGTACTTACCGAAGCTGAAACCGACCATGGCCGGCCAAAAAAAAAGGGTGTTTTTAGGCACACAACATGCCCAGCTTTTTTTGACCTACGCTAGGCGTGCTGGTTTCAGGCAACACACCCCCGATGGTGATTAAAGGTAGGACGCTTGTAAAACCACCAAGCAAGGCCTGATGGCCAGGGCCTCGATAAAGATTCTCCAGGTGCCCATGGCGTTGGGGAAATGTTCTCATCAGCCCGTGTATTTCATGGGTTTCTGAAAACCATGAAAACCATGAAAATAGCAACCAGAACCAGACGCAATAAGTCTAGCGTTTTGTCGCAGTTTTAAATTGTTTCATACATGGTTTCCACATAACCATGACACATCCCAAGGTTTCATACATTGAGTTCTACAGTCATTGGTTCATTATGGTTCATGGGTTTACCATAACATTTTGTATAAACCAATGTTTGGTCCCCAACAAAAAACATATGAATTATTCAGGGGCAGCCATGCGCCCAGGCAGCAGGTCTGGTGCATGGATAGCGAGGCGCAAAGGCGCCAGTGAGCTTCACATGACGCGTGTTATCCAACTGGCTTTGTCTGAAAATGGTGTATATCCTCCCAAATGGCTACTTTGATGGGAAAAATATGGAAAAATGATGGGGAATCATCATGTAACGCAGTTAGACAACGTAAACTATACAGAATCTCTGTGTTGTGTGTCTCTTTACATTTATTGCGTTGATGCACGGATGTGCACATAATGTCCATACGCATCAAGGAGTGAGTTGCAATTTAGTAGCCCCCTCCTCCATACTTCCGATGAGTTCGGTTTCAGGTGTTGAGAGAAGCCATTCTGTTGTTTTGCTGGGTGGTTAGCGTAAAATTACCATTTTGTTGATATCTTGAATGATATCTCTTGGATTTAACTGATATTTAAATCACCTGTTTGTTGGTTGATCTCTTGGATTTCTCTGACTTCAAGGGATACCCGGAGAGTGCCCATGGGTGATCTGCCTGGACACCAGGACGGAGACCACGACTCCGGTGGATGATGCCACTCTTTTGCCAGAGGCACATTGCTAGGGTTGAGCCAAGATGGATTCTGGTTGGTGGTTTGGAACATGAATTTTATTTTCCATAACCCATAGGATCCATGTATGGTATATATGCTAACATTGGGGGTATATTGATGGTAAATGTTACCATATATAGCATACATGGATCCTATGGGTAATACAATATATATATATATTATATTATCGGAATAATCATCCCAACTGACGAACTCATATTTTTCAGAGGGGTTCAAACCACCAACCAGGTATAATAATCCCATATAATCCCTTCCCCCTTAAATTTTCGTAACTCGCCTGTATCCTCAAATGAACAGACTAACCACATTCCACAAGCCTCTCTAGGGTGTTAATTATGACGAACGGTTATTTGGGCAAGGAACCACCTGTGCTAGCACCAAACATGGTGATATTGACCAACACACATGCAGGGATGAAGTCTTTTCATGTTGACACCGTGGTAGCTCTGCTACCTAGAGTTCAGTTTAGAGATCACGATCATGTAGCAGCATATCAAGGGTTCATTTCAATTTGCACACCGGTACCTGGGCATATGAAAACTGGGCGAATCTTGTTGGAATGACTGGGTAGTAAAGGTAGATTTTTAGAGAAGTCATTGAAAATCCTAAAACATATCTTAGCAGAATCTCAGAAATTTTGCACCGATTGTGAAAAACCTCACCTGGGCCACCTGGCTTTTGAAAGCTCCAAAAAAGACGAGGCCGCAGCCGAGGTCGAGGCCGGATCGATTCAAGGGAGGTGAGTTTCTATGACTTCTTCCATTCTTCCGCATGATTTTCCAGGTGGAAAAGGCATGAAAAGGCATGAAAAGGCAGCATTGGGGGAGAAATTCTTGTGAATTTCTTTGGGTTTTTTTTTGCGCATCATCTTGCAATGGCCTAGTCTTGAGTCCTGAATGGAGAAATAAGAGACGTGTCCTCTCCTGCCGACACAGTAACAATCTTGTGGATGTCTAAAGCTTAGACTTAGAACACAAGACTCTATTATCCTATGTCGAACATGATACTGCACAGCAGAAAGCAACCTGGAATGCCAACACAAGGCCTCTTAGATGATTTCATTCTTGCGATCTAATGCGCCTGTTGGCCTGTTGGTTCCATGTTGAATTTCCAAGGGTTTGTACCCATTCCCGCGTGCATTTTACAACAACGGTAATGTGGGTAGCAGATGCTTCCTCAAACTGGCTATGACCACCCTCTGGTCGTTTCTGATGAAACCCTACGATGTCAACCTTTTTTTTTTGCAACCTTGTCCATGAACTAGGGAACCCCAAGAGATATCATTTCATTTATTGAAATGACACGTCCTGGCAGACATACAATTCTGGATTAATGTCGAAATAGATACAGTAGAACACTGAGGGCCCTGTGTGGAAAATGTTTTGTCATTTCTTTAATTGAACGAATTAAACGGCTCAAATCCACATGTCTATCTTTTCTTGAACACTTGGAAATTACGAGGTGATAGAACAAGTTAAAACCATCCACAGCATCTTGGAAAAATAGTTTTGAACAACTTTCAGCAATTTTGCCGGCTCCTGGATATTAACATCTTTGGATATCCAACTGGAATCCAAGATATCTTTGGCTTCCAAGGTGGTATGCCAACCTTGAACATCCATCTGTTTCAGGATATTAATCCCTGACCCGTGATATAAAAGCCCCCAAATGAAACGCTGAAACCCGGTTTAGTTTGCATCTCTTGTTTTTTTGGGTCCCACTAATTTGGGGCATTGCGCATTGTATTGGCTATCCCATTTCAGCATGGTCAAATCCTGTCAAACCCACATTTTGAAATGGTCAAACCCGCAATTCACATTGTTATCCTTATTGCGTCCCATTATAAAATACAGATAAATACAGTATATCTTCAAAGTTGCAGCAGTACTAAAGGGGATATATATTATAATATTATAACTGTATATCCCGTACACCCCCATCAATATAGGGGGATGGGATTCACATTTTTGGATCGCCAGGAGAATAGCGAGAAGTTGATGCCACCCTGGAGCCCTCTGATGGATGTGGTTCGGGAGCTCGTTCTTAGCAAATTCGGAAGGGGTCAGAAACGGTTGCTGCCCCCCCAGGCTGGAGGGTTGTAACCTCTCGTTTGATCACATGATTATGATTATATATATATGATTCATTATGATTCTAAATATTCTACCATATTCTATCTGTATTTATTTGCATTCATACTAAAAATGCAATCGTTTTTGTTGGGTCCATGATGCACTTCAACCCCTGCAAGGTTGAACCGTCGCCAATTTTTGTGGGGTGATTGGACTGCGACTTGGACCCTTGGACCCTCAACCTGAACCATATGATGATGAACTCACTGACGATCACTGCATCTTTATTTCTGGGGAAATCGTCCTCAAAATGGCAGAAGCAATCAGCTTTGGGAAGTATGAAGGGTATGATTTTCCATCCATGCTTGCAAGTTGCAAGATTTGCACAGCAAGCTGGTGACTTTTATGCAGAACCCGGCAGAGCAGATTGTCGTTGCTTTGCGCACCGTCCATGAGGAAGGGCTTTTGGAAGCGACCACAGAGGCAGGCGAAGGAAACTGCAGGACCTCGCGAGGCTTTCCCAGCGCCAGCTGCCAAGCCGAGATTGACGTTCTTCCAACGACAGCTGTGGCAGACTACGAAACGACCGGATGGCAGCCCTAAAGAAAAGCACACGCCAGGATACTTTCATGTAAAAGTGGATGAATAGTATTACCCTCTGGTAAACTAACATAACTATGGAAAATCACCATTTTTAATGGGTAAATCCACTATCAATGGCCATTTTCAATAGCTATGTTAGTTTACCAGAGGGTATATGAACAGAACGGGCTGTCCAATTTGGGGGATTGGTGGCCCAACATGGCCCAACCACCTGCAAACATGGGGTTTCTTTGGCATTTCGCTGGGTGCACCACCTGTCTCCCAATTGGTTTGACCTACATGTGCCTCAGTCAATCCCTTGGAAGACTACGACACACTTATGGTGGTTGTTCAAGTTGCAAGAATCTATATCCTTTGGTAGTCTGGCACCTGGCGAAGCAGGTGTGGGACATGTTTTTTTCCCCCGACAAGTATACAGGTTATACCCTATGTACATCTATGTACCATTCTTGTGGGTTAAATCCCAACTGTACCGGTTAATACTTGGTTGATTCCACCATTTACATCCAATGCCATGGAATTAGCTATTGCCTATAGATGATATAGATGGAAATATGACAATTCTGCAGTAAAGACATCCAGGTGTTGTGGATTATTTGGACCAATGTGGTCAAGCCAATCGTAAATCATGCCATTACTAGGTTTGTTTTTGCAGAATTTCTGAAGCCTCAAGCAGGGATGGTTAAATGGTTTATTGCAACATTGCCACGTTTCCTGACAATTACCCTCTGGCAAACAAACATATATAGCTATTGAACATGGTCATAGAAATAGTGGATTTACCCATTGTTTCAATGGTGATTTTCCATAGTTATGTTAGTTTACCAGAGGGTACTGTATCCCAGAATTTATCATCATTATCAAAAAGAATCTAAGAGTGTAATTGTTGTCACACATTTTTTCGTACATCCCAAAAAATGCCATACCTCTCCGATAGTTGCCTCATAATTGGAATCATTGGGATTATCATCAGAAATACTGGGACTATTGATCGGATTATTATTATCCCATGGATGGTTTTGCCATTACAGTCAACTGTATGTTACCCTCTGGTAATTTAACATAGCTATGGACATCACCATTAAAATAGATAAATCAACTATTTCTATGGTCATTTTCCATAGCTATGGGTAGATTGCCAGAAAAAAGCCGTTTTTTTTTTGCCCACGTGTCATCCCAGAGGCTGCAATGGCTTCCACTCACTTGATGGATGTGGCTGGCTGCGTGGGATGGCCTGGATGATTTTTTTGGATTATATGATCCTTGATGATCTTTTCCTATAGGATTATAATGGATTATATAGAGATTTGATGAATTTTGATGATCTATTGATGATAATTGGATTCTAATTGCATCTAATTGAAGATTCATCAATCTTGTCCTCAATCAAATTAGTATACATAGTATAGTCATATATATATATATATGTGCATGTAATGTAATGCAGTGCAATGTAATGTTATGTTATGTTATGTTACGTTATGTTACGTATGTACATGCATGGCATGGAGAAAACACTTATATTATATGTCTGCTGAAGTCGCTGCATTGCTCATTTATTCCATGCATCCCACCGGGCCGGGCCGACGACCCCTGAGGTCACGAAGCATCTGCACGCCTCTATGCCCAACGCGAGCTTCAACGCCTTATTGAGGTAATACGGGCGGCTGGTGGAGATTGCCATGTCTCAAAACCGGATGCCCTGAAGTGCGTGGTCGGTTGCGGGGATGAGATGTTCAGAATTTCATGGACACCAGTGGCACCAAGCAATTATATATGTACCAAATCGACTGTAAAGCCTGAAACATGGTGTCTCGCCACGAAAAAAGATTCAGCTTCATAAAGTTTGGTCAATGACAATTTCATGTCCTTCATTCAAATGGCGTTCAACCCTGTCTAGGGTTGATGTTTTTGGCCTTGATTTCAATGAATATTTCCAATGAATATTTCCACCACATATGACCTGAGTTTCTGGCACCTTCGATGGCCATATTTGTCGCTAGGAGGGCCGGCCCCAGCGATCCGTCGGCCAGGGCGGACTTGCGGCAGACGCCTGGGGAACTCCAAGGAAAGCCCTTTCAGTCACTCGGCTCGACGTTTGTCGATGTTAAACATCCAGTGATCCTTGGCAAGATGGGTTTTTCCAATGTTTCTCGAGTGTTATCACTGAAGTTATCACTATAAACTCTAGATTTAAGCATCTATAGATGGTTTACTTGCTACTTGTATGGTTAATATTGGTTAATAACTATGGTGAATGCTTTTTCAGTATTATAAGTGATAACTATCAACATTATCAACATCCATAGATGGTTTACTATACAGTGAATAACTATCTGGTTGGTGGTTTGGAACATTTTTTATTTTCCCCAATAGTTGGGATGGTGATCCAATCTGACTTTCATATTTTTCAGGGGGTAGGTCAACCACCAACCAGCTATAACTCCTCCATTTTTCCGGCCAAAACCGGTCAAAACGGTCCCAGGTCCTACGTCTTTCTGGGCACCTCCGTCGAAGCGCCGTGTCCTCCCATGGTGCGGCGTCGGATGCGGATCCTGCGCGTGGCATGGCGGATGTGTTTTTTGGGGGATGTCAACCGGAGTTGACTGGGTCAACAACTGGAGTTAATAATACACTTATATACACATATATATATATACATATATATATGATGATAATGATTTATTATAATCTATAATTATCTATAATCATCTATTTTTTTAACCTATAATCATCAGACATCGTCTAGTTGAGCAATGTTCAAAACCCTTGTTGGTCGATGATTAGTTCGGGGATTAATTTGCCCAAGATATTGGGGATTATAATAATCCAATAATTAGTGGAATCCCTATAAACCAGTCAGTACAATGGAATGATGGAGTGATTTTGAACACTGTTCAACTGGAGTTTTTTTTGGAGATTGCACATAATTTAATTAATTAATCACATGATATTTAATGAACCTCAAAGAAAAATGCTAAGATGTTCACTATGGTCAAAGCCTTTGTTTGATGATTGAACTTCATTGATGGGGATTTTACAATCTTTGTATAAAGGATTTCACTGTCAGAAATATGGGGATACAATGGGCCAATGGTCGATTGATTGATGATGATATGATTTTATACAATCCTGTGTAGTCTTGGGCATCGTCGCAACCCATGAGCTGACGAAAAAATCCATAGAACACTGCCCAAGTGAGTACAAAATCAACATGATATGGGATGATACGGGGACCAAATGGTTTTTTTTTGATATGGTGATACAATGGGTTTACCATCCCCCAAACTAATTCACATAGATGGTGCCATGAGTTGGGGGGACTTCACACTTTCACCTTGGTTTCCGGTCTTTTTGATACAAGACCTTGATTTTTAGTTGACGCCCCTAGGAAACCCTGGGAAGCTCTGGGATACTTTTGGGGATAGAAAAAACTTGGGAGACTCCGGGGGTATGGCAGTTGGCACAGTTCCATGCTCCGCAGCCGTAGACCCTCAAAGTTTTGGCGTTTACGGCCGCGTATGGTTGGAACGGCCGGTGGCTGGGCGGTTCCGACCAGCTGACTCCGCTTTTCGAGGCAGACACCCCAACTGTTCCTATCGGGGGTTGAGTGGTTTCGTTTTTGTTGATGTTTACGCGGCAAGGTTGAATGGACTAGCAGTTCCTTGATACAATTAATTCTACAAGATGAACTGGGCTCCTGATGTTTCAAGAAGCCGTTGTAAAGTCTGACCTTGATACTCCACTACACCTGCATAACCCCATTCACATGAAGAACTCCTCATTCCCGGTTGGCAGTCTCAAACATCCCTTACTTTAGAATCAGTTTGGGATGATGGTCCTCAAGATCGTTTTACGACTGGGGGTGTTTTTTTTTTTCTGTTTCTTCTTGGGTTTCATTCTGAGGGTGCATAATTATACAGTAATTATTTACTGTATATATACAGTTATATTATGTATATATATATATTATGTATATATATATTATGTGTATATATATATTGTATATATATATACATATCGTGTGTATATATATATATATCATGTGTATATATATATATACATATGGATGAATTATAATGACATCACTGTGACGTCACTGCAATGATAGTCTTATAAAGGGGAATCATCCCCAAATTGCATCATTTCAGCCTTTTTCAGGTTGGTGAATTATTACAATTCATATGTATAAATGGAGGTTTTATACTTGGATAAATGATGATAGATGATGATAGATGTATATTAATGCCATATATATATATATATATATCTGCTTGGTGGTTTCAAACATTTTTTATTTTCCATTTCATATATGGGATAATCCTTCCCATTGACTTTCATATTCACGTCGCTTCGCGACGGCAACCGCCCGCACCGCATCGTAACTGCCAGTGATGTCGGCCATTGAGACCAAAAACATCCGAAAGTACTGATTGTCGGAAAAAAGAACGCGAAGAATTTGATAGCCATGTATAGCGGACCAACGCAGTTCAAAAATAACGAAAAACATGAAAAAACGGCGAAATTGCTGTTATTTACAGTGTTTTTGCGCGGTGAGAAGCAGAAACCACTGCAAATACCATGGTTTTTGAGGGTCAGGTGGCCAAAAACACTGTAATTTACAGTGTCTTATCCAACGTCAAAAAACACTGGTAGTTACGATGTTTTCATTCACACCGTAACATAAAACAGCGTAATTTACGAGGTTTTTGGAAGTTTTGAAGCTAGCCGTCAAGCATGCAGAAAACAGGAAAACACTGTAAAAACCAGTGTTTCTGCTATCACAAAACGACGAAAATCAGTCCGAAAACGGGTCCAAAAACTCAAAAATCCGCCTCCGGGCCAGGCCACCTGCGGAACCGCAAAAAAAGATGTTGCAAACCCAAAAATTGAGGTCAAAAAGTTGAAAAACACGGGTTTTTTTCACTTTTCGCTTGCCGATTTTGGACGGGCGCGTTCACGAACAGGTGTCTTCCGTACTGTTTTTTTACAGTGTTTTTTGAAGGCGAGCGTCACGACCTATCAAAAACAGGAGGTTTTGGCCGAAAAATGCCCCCCCCTCCCCCCCAGGTAAACCTGTAACCTTTTACGAGTGCCATCCGGACGATCACGCCCCAGCACCTTCGGTGCGGGCGGATTTTTCAGAGGGGTAGGTCAACCACCAACCGGATATTTGACCCTGGAGGATTAGCTCAAAGCAGCGGAGGTGCCAATGTTCCGAAGATGGGATTTCTATGGATTTCTGAAGATAGAGGAGGCCATAGAAATAGTGGATTTAGCCATTAGAAATGGTGATGTTCCATAGTTATGTTGGTTTACCAGAGGGTACTTGGAGGATGATTGGTCTTGTGGTTTTGAGTTTTAAGATGTTGACAACACAGGGGTTTAACCAGCCAAACATGGGAAATGCGTGGGCACACAACCTGCCAAAATGACGATGGTTAGACCGCACACCAGAGATGCTATGGAAGGTTTAAGCAACAACCATGCGGGTATATGATGAAATCCACAATGGGATATAATGGGATGTATAATCATATATTCATAATCAAATATTCATATATTAGTATTGCCAACCAGGGGTTTTGAATGTCCGGGGTGACAGAAACACCATGCTTCAACACCTTGATGAATCATCAGATGGGAATCTTGGACTCCAACCAGAGGATTCACCTGGCTTGACATTGTGCATATGGGTCAAAATCATTTGGTTTTCATGTCTATCCCATCATGGTCCGTGTTGTGAGAATTCTGGGATGACATTTTTGGGGAACTTGACCGAGCAGGTACCCATTTAAGAAACCTGGAACTTGACTGGTTGGTGGTTTGGAACATTTTTTATTTTCCCATATATTGGGAATAGCAACCCCAACTGACTAATATTTTTCAGAGGGGTTGAAACCACCAACCAGTTGAAATTGACGATTTCAACACAAAAGTCTTCTCGGCTGTCGTAGCATGGAGGTTGTGGGCAACGGTTCGCGGCAGCTGAAGTCCCCTGCAAAGCATGGATGCGGTGACTTTGCTGATGTCAAAACGTGGACCCGGGAAAAATGGATCTATATGAATATATGATATGTATAACATGTACATATATGTGTATATATATATATATAGAGGATTATATGACTATACATGTATGAATACAATACAATAAGACATATGATTTCAATAGGTGTGATAGGCATACTATTAAGACATGTATGTGATACAACATTTGATACTACATTAAATGTGCTGATGATTATTGATGTATAGTATATTTATAATATGTCATCCACTTTCATTCCAGTGCATTTTCAAGTTTGAAATGACAACATGGCTGTGTTTCATGAACCTAATCAAATACACACATATAGATATAGATATAGATAAAGATATAGATTTAGATATATAATGATATATATATATATCTATAAATAAGTAAATAAACAAATGAATAAATATGAATAACTAAATAATTAAATAAATAAATGCTATATATATATATATACACGCGTACGATCATTGGCAAAGCCATTTTTCCCATGAGATCCTAGATCCCCAAGCAGTCATTGATCTCTCCCCAGTTTTCTGGGCCCTGGTAAGCGGTAAGTTCACAGCTCCAATTTCCATAGCCAGGAATTTCATACATCTTGATCTATGATAATTCCCAATGTTTATTGGTGAAATATCAGTCAGTTTTATTGGCCAACCATCTACTCAGTGTCGGGATATGTGCTTGATAGTTCACACCAAATAGGATTTAGACTAGAACTATCCATTTTGCAAATCGCCTAATCCTACTTAGCTGAAATTGCAGGTGCACAACCTATTTAGTAGGATAAACATGGATAAACCACCAAATCCACAATCCAATTCAAATCCTAGTTAGCCCCTTGCTAGTTGTTCTGCCATCGCAATCTCTGGTAGATTCCATGATCCAGTTTTGTTCATTAAGATCTCCACGCTTGCAGGTTCAAATCCCCATTATTGCTGGCTAAAGCTCTGTTTTTGACGCAATAAAATTGTAACGCCCAGCTTTTGCTGATTTCAATCTCTTTCTGACCCTTTACTTCCAAAACAAAATACCTTATGATTGCTGGTTCATTTGTTGCGTTCGCGCCGGTCCAGACATGACCCAGGACTTGCGCTGCCAGGCGGGTCGATTGCAGTAGATGTACGTATCCTTATCCCTCATCCAATCTCCTTGAACCTTTGGCAACCGCACGTGCCTTGCTGGAAATCCATCATTTTATGGGTTACCCTCTGGTAAACTAACATAACTATGGAAAATCACCATTTTCAATGGGAAAATCCACTATAAATGGCCATTTTCAATAGCTATGTTAAATTACCAGAGGGTAGATGATTTTCCCAGCTGTAAACCTCCATTAGTTTGGAGATTTCCCGATTCTGAATGCCCACTGTGTAATATCTATAAGCTACCGCCATGCTTCCGAGAGCTGGGGTGTCCTCTTGTTTCTTTTGATCTAATCTTCCCTATCTACACAGGCAGGAGAGATGTTTTTTTTTGATGTGGATATCTACACATATGCATCCCCCAATATCCCGTTACATCGTAGGGTTGCCATTTTACCTGGACTGTCATACCCTTCAGGTACTACTTTGCCCCTTTCTAACAATTCACGGCAGGGGGAAAGCTTGCGAAGTGTTTAGTAAGTAGTTACATACAGTAAATTATCAGACACTCAAGGCTTGATATTCTACTAGTGTATACTTCTGAAGTTGAATGCCCATTGTTGCTGGCTTACCCACATTTATCCTCCAGATATAGTCCTCATTGAGCGATGGTCCTTTCAACCCATGTCAATCTCAGCTGAATGGTCGGTGATGTCTTCATTTTTGATGGTTGAATGATCGGGTGTTTGGTCAAAGCAACATTTTGCAACTCCATTTTTTTGTTGGTTGCATCTCAGTTTTGCGCCAGTTACATCTAAATCTCTGTTGATTGAAAAGCACCTATTTTTCTCCTGGTTAGATCATCATCTTTGTTGATTTAGCCAAGTTTCTTTGGATGACATGATGACATCATCTTACTTCGCGATGGTTTGCACCTACAATGGAGAGATTTCCACGGCAGGTGGAAGTGATTTTCCAGTCTACCTTGGCGGACACCAACGGTCTCCTGGAACGGGAGAGCTCCTTGACCGACCTTTCCGGTGAGACGTCGTGGGACAATGTCGAAGACCATGTGGGATATTTGGATCTTCGGGAGATGAGGGGATATACCCTCTGGTAATTTAACATGGCTATGGAAAATCACCATTTATAGTGGATTTTCCCAGTAAAAATGGTGGTTTTCCATGGCTATGTTAAATAACCAGAGGGTAATATAGCAACAATGAGGTGAATGGGGAAACCGATTGATCTGGGAAAATATTCACCTCACTGAGAGACCAATCCTCAAGACTTTGAGTATATTTTATACTTATATGATGGTTTTGAAATCTATCTAACTCTCTCATCTCTGGGTAAGCCTTTGTTGAGTAGCCTAGGGAGAGATGAAGTGAATATAAGTGAATGTAGCAAGGCATCTACAGACAAAACAACTGATTGTTGGTTGCGCGCACTTTATATATCTCTAAATTACTTTGCTTCGTGCGATCCCCACCATGACATTTATACATGTTCTTACTGGCACATCTTCTGGCATATCTTCTGGCATATCTTCTGGCATTCTATCTGACATATCTTCTGACATTCTATTTGGCATTCTATCTGGCATATCTTCTGGCATTCTATCTGGCAAATCTTCTGGCATTCTATCTGGCATATCTTCTGGCATTCTATCTGAAATATCTTCTGGCATTCTATCTGGCATTCTATCTGGCATATCTTCTGGCATATATTCTGACATATCTTCTGGCATTCTATCTGGCATTCTATCTGGCATATCTTCTGGCATATATTCTGACATATCTCTGGCATTCTATCTGGCATTCTATCTGGCAAATCTTCTGGCATTCTATCTGGCATATCTTCTGGCATTCGATCTGACATATCTTCTGGCATATCTTCTGGCATTCTATCTGGCAAATCTGATGCATTCTATCTGGCATATCTTCTGGCATTCTATCTGACATATCTTCTGGCATTCTATCTGGCATATCTTCTGGCATATATTCTGACATATCTTCTGGCATTCTATCTGGCATATCTTCTGGCATATATTCTGGCATATCTTCTGGCATTCTATCTGGCATATCTTCTGGCATATATTCTGACATATCTTCTGGCATTCTATCTGGCATTCTATCTGGCATATCTTCTGGAATATCTTCTGGCACATCTATCTGGCATATCTTCTGGCATATTTTCTGGCATTCTACCTGGCAAATCTTCTGGCACTCTATCTGACATTTTATCTTCCTACATGAGGTCCGGCAGGGAACACTTGGCGTGGATACTCGCGGTTGAGGTCCGGCAGGGAACACTGGGCGTGGATGGTCGTGGTTGAGGTCCGGCAGGGAACACTGGGCGTGGCTGGTCGTGGTTGAGGTCCGGCAGGGAACACTGGGCGTGGATGGTCGTGGTTGAGGTCCGGCAGAGAACACTGGGCGTGGGTGGTCGTGGTTGAGGTCCGGCAGAGAACACTGTGGATCGCGGGTCGCAGTTGAGCAAGGACAACGAGGACAACGAGGACGACGAGGACGACGAGGACGACAAGGACGACAAGGATGACAAGGAGGACGAGGAGGAGGAGGAGAGGAGGACGAGGCAGGAGGAGGCGGAGGAGGAGGAGGAGAAGGAGGAGGAGAAGGAGGAGAAGGAGGAGGAGGAGGCAACTGACATAAAATCTAACAACCCTCACCTGGCAGGTGGGAAAAATACGATCCCACATCATCGAATCATTTTTTTTGGGGTGAGGTATAACATGTGAAACCGCAAAGCCAGTTCCATAAAAAAAATCCATGAACTCCCAATAAAAAACCATTAAATCCCATGGCATGATGGGTATCACTAGGTGCCATGGTCTTCTCCCATCCGTCTTGGGTCATCTTGGGTCTCCCGTTTAGGCTGTATCGACTTCCTACAATCCATTGGTGGTACCAAGCAAGAGGCGAACGCCCTGCTGAAGGACTGCGTTTCGATTTTTTCCCACCAATCCAATCAGAGCAGGGAAATGGTCGCAGGAGTATGACCAACAGGAGCCTCACATCAGTTGGGGATCTCAGGTTGACCTGTCAATTTTGGGGTCCCCTTTGAAGCACCCAATCTGAGGTGGACCTAGCCATACCTAGCGGTTTTGGGCGTTAAACCTTGCGGCACTCGGCCGTCCCAGTTGACCCTGCTTAGCAAGTCCTGATTCCGGCATCAAAATTGATGGCTAGACATCCAAAAATTTTCTCAATCAAGTAGCAGATTGACATCACGTTGACATCACGTTTTTTTTCTTGAGCATCACTATCACCAATGTGTTCCAGTTGGAAATGGGACCATTGGATTCAACCAATCCATGGGACATCAAAAGAAACCCTGGCGGAATGTATTGAGTCTCTTCATTTTCGGGTCCCAAAAAATCGGCACGCAATACTATTGACCTATAATGACACATATATATATATATGTATATGTATATGTATACATATAATTATATACATATATGTATCCACGATATTATAATATTGAACACTAATATTTGAGGGTTACCCCCTTATTGAATCCCTGTTGTGGGATGTTTTTTTTTTCCCATCACATATCCCCATAAGACCGTTAAATTCAAATAAAATCCCACAACATCTCATATTCCCATTAAGTTCACATAGAATCCCATAGCATTTCAGATTCCCACCAAACCCACGTCTTAACATCAATTTTGAATAGTTAGATCCCTGTTGATGGTTTATATCCCCAGAAAATCTCTCTTCAACATCCTAAAATGCCCAAAGAAAATCCATAAATTCCACAATATCCCCATTGAAATGGTATCACATCATCTTTTTTTCTCCGAAATTTGAAGAAAATCACCATGAAAAACCATGGAACATCCCCAGGTGTCAAGGACTTCCTGGACATCCTCTGTGGCCCCGAAAAAAAGGCGCCGGCCGAGGCGGGAGACATGTCCCGAGGTCACTTGAGCCCCACGAAATGGGGAAGAACTTGGGGGAGACCATGGGATTTATTGGTGATTTGATGGGATTTCATGGGATTTATTGATGATTTGATGGGATCTAATGGTGATATAATGGGAGGTATAGATGAGTACTTGATTGCTAAGGCAGCCATCTGGTAATTTGCCACAGTTTGCTAGGAACATCACAATTTTTGACAAGTAAATCATTGAGCTAGATTCACATTTTTCCATAGCTATGTTAGATTACCAGAGGGTATAGGTGAAAAACGCTGAAGACATCCATGATCTTATACATGTGTGAAAACAGTGAAAACCGCGACAGCAATTTCACTTGAATTTGTCTAAGATGAAATACAAACAGCAGGCGATCTGGTCACAAAATTGGTCAATTTGGGTAACCATACTGGCTGGTTTTGAAATTTACAAGTTCCTTCTGCGGACATGGCATGGTGTTGAATGGTGGGATGAACTTTGTCGTTCCGTGGGCATGTCTTGAACGAAGACTAGGCTACAGTTAGGCCTCACATGATGGAAGCCCAGACATCAATATACCCTCTGGTAATTTAACAGCTCGCTATTGAACATGGTCATAGAACTAGTGGATTTACCCATTGAAAATTGTGATTATCCATAGCTATGTTAGTTTACCAGAGGGTAGATTCTAGATCATGGTTCATCTTGGGGAAGCGATCACATAGTGATGGCATTTCATCAAGCTCCGGTTTGGTACTTCCCAAGATGCTCCATAGCTGTCTGAACACGACTCCGTTGCGCTGCTTAGGCAACGGAAACTGCAGGAAATGTGTGTCTTTGACAGCACGGCTGGACAGCTGGATTGATGGGAGTTTCACAAAAAAAACCACAGTTTTCTCTGAACATTTGGTTGTGTCTGAAAATAGTGTACCCCTAAACCCAATGGTTAATGATCATTATCCCTATTAAATGGCTATAATTGGGAATATACCCTATTTTCAGACAAACCCATTTCATTTCAATTCTGTTTGATACTTGATCAAGATACAATCTGATATTGAATTGCTGGTGGTGCTGAATGTAGTTTGATGGAGGTTTCCAAACATCCAATCCCGGATCCCTATTTTCAACATAAATTATCCAACTTGCGAATCACGTGTGGGCATGCTCTCGGAGACGACTTGAACCCAGCAAGCTGTGCACCGAAATCTGGAGGTCACTGTTGGCATCAGTAGTATCGCTGCATTTCTAGGCACTTCGGGTCAAGAACTCTTCATCAAATCCAGGATTGCTAGGTGGTTGTGTTGATTTCCATCCCGGCTGGGGATGATCCAGACTTTCATCATCGGGAGCTTCATTTTTTTTGGGGACTCGGAGAGGACCAACTCTTTCGCAGCCAGCTAGCCATCAACCAACCATCAACCATGATTTAGCTACGTATGTGTATCATTGTGTATCCCCATTTTGGCCGGTCAAATCTTGTATTTGATGGGTAAATCTAGTTGATCTGAAGGACTATTCTGGACACGCTATAACGCCCACCACTGCAATGACAGCTGGGATTCTCCATATTGATATCAAGAAGTGCTACCCTCTGTCAATTTCACGTGGAAAATCCTCGTTTTCATAGGGACAGAATCTATAAATGGACCATTTCCATCCATTTCCCATACCGTAAATTGCCTTACCGGGTAAGACAACCAGCCGGTGATGTGAGCCGAAATTGAGGAAGGAAGTCCCTCAGCCGGTCGAGCCGCTCAAGGAGGATGGCTTTCCGGTTGGATTCTTCAGAGGGGTTGAAACAGCCAGCCAGGCAGCCAGGTTTCATTTACAAAGTTCTGGATTTTGATTATATAAAATAGCAACAATGATATTTTTTAATAAGCAATAATAATCATAATTTATAATCGTAATTACTAATGATAGTAATAGTAATAGTAATAATAATAGTAATAATAATAAAAAATAGTAATAATAGTAATAATTAATAATAATAATAATAATTAATAATTAATAATACAAATTAATAATAATAATGATATTTACATGATTTTACATGGTTTAAAACAATCTGATAGAACACTTTTTCACCGCAGAATGGAGAATGTGCGACATGCAAAATTTGATTTTTCGCACATACAAGATGGGTTTGGATCAGCAAAAGAGGGCATTTATCAATGTACATGGGGCAAACAACTCCCAAGAAAACTGGGTATGTTTAGCCGGTAGAACTGTAAGGTAGCCACTGAATTACATTGGGGTTGGGATGTTTACCAACACAAATACAAGTGAGGAACATTGTATAATCAATGAAAACGGTAGTGTAACATGGTCGTGTCACCAGCAAAATATGGGAACGATCAAACATGGCAATGCATAAATGATGGTCGCATGAAAACCCCCATCTATAGGGGATTTCCCATTGCCATGTTGATGACGGGTAAATCATCCCATCTTTGGGTGCTATTCCCATCTCGTGTTTTACAGTGGTCATATCCTCATATCCAAAAATCCAATTGGCGTTGGGTATAGACATGAGTGTAGGCAAGGGGTGTTGCTATCGGGAAGACCATTTACACTGTGATGTTTACCCCAAACCTCACCCTGTACCCCACGAACAAAAAAAACATGTATAGGGGATATTTATGAACCTGAAAGATTTGAGTCGGTATGTTTTCAGAGTTTGATGACGTTCTTCTTCCTTTTCTCCATTTATATAAATATTCATGGCCCACTGCTTTCAAATGGAACGACCCCTCGTCTTCCCGAAACAAGTCAAACTGTGTGATCATAATTATTGGCAATTGGGTTGTTTATTAAAAGGTGGAACGGGAAAACTTCAGATCTTACTTTTCTATACGTGAAAAAGAATTCTTAAAACTGCATAGCAAATCAACATTTACCGCAACCAGCAGAATGATGAGCCTGAACTTGGGCTCAATTTGGCCAGTTCTCCAGGAACCAACGGTCGAAGCGGTCGAGGAACATGGCGTAGATCCAGCGCCCGTCGAGTCACAGGCGCGTGGCGGGGACCAGGTTTAGATGGGTTTTTTAGTAATTTTAGTATGAAGATGTATGAACCATCTAATCCTATATAAGTACCCAATTTTGAAGCATATAAGTACATATAAGTACAGTCATCCTAGAGTAGCTAGAAGATGGATTGCTCAAACAATCTTCACTAAAATGAGAGAATTTGTTTGAACATTCCATATTATCCATACTTCAGGATGACTAGAGATGCAACATGTTACCCCAAATCATCCAAATCATGGATGATCATGACTTGATATTGAAGCCCATGGTGACTTGGGGATCCCCCATTTTAGGACCCCCCCTCCTATTCACCTCTCTGTGCACAGACCGAAGCGGAACCTGTAGAACTGCCCAAAGAGGAGGACAATTTTTCGTTTTTTTGGGGGGAACCTGAGTGAGCCGTGAGCAATGGTGTTGTCCAAACAGTGAAATTTACGCATCACACCGATATTTTACCAGGAAATGGTGTTTTTTAGATTTGACAATCAAAAATGGTGAGCAGTGGTGGTTTAAGCATCAAACCTGTGTATCTGACTACATACTGAACATCATTGTTTTAATGGTAAGACACATGGGATATAATGGGATACATAAACATCATGATATAATGTGATATATGAGATGTGTCCAATAATATGGAGTATTTACCACACAAATTATGGCCACCTTATGATACAACATGATATATGGGGATATGTCATGCTTGGGATATATTTCACCAACAATGATTTATGGGTTTGTCCAAAAATGAGAGATTGACATCCTACTGATCTAAAAAAAATAATAGCCAAACATATCTCATTCAAAGGCCCCCTGGCCCTATGCAAAGGTATGCTATTCAGCTTTGCACAGGTCAGAGGCAGCTTGGCTACGAACAAGCAACACATGCACTGAGGTATCCCAAAATGGAAAATATTGGTCATATTTTAATTTAAGATCAGTTTTTTTTAAAATGCTCGTTCATATTTTTTTTGGCTGATTTTTTGCTTCCAATACTACTTTTAGAAGGGGGCAGGGTACCCTTCTGCTCAACCCCCTCGTCCCACACCCCACAACACAGATTTTTTTCATTAGATCTACATATTATATTTATATTTTTTTTGGTCCAATTTCACCAATTTTAAAATATAGTAAAAAAGGATAGATTAAATAAATTAGCAACAGAAACTCTGATTCATAGCCCTTTGAATAGATCCCCAGAGATGGAGAAGGAATAACAAAAAAAATGCAGGCTGAACAGCCTAAGACGCCTAAAAATGGGGAATCTAAGCAACAATAAATCCGATTTGGCTAGTACAAATGTAGAATTGACGAAAGAAACTGGTAGTTGTTCAACCCACACAGCTCCGCCATCAGGTCCCCTATATCACTGGCCAATGGATGGGTTTGTTTAATTTGCTTTATGGATTCCCCATCGCTAATCAAACATGGCGTGAAAGAACATCCCCAGATTATATAGATGATGTTCATCGATTTTCCCATTGAACCACCAATTTCGAGCGGATTTCCCATTGCCAACGCCATGTTTGATGACCGGAACGGTATACCTATCCGATGTGTGATTTCCCCCGACTTCCCGACATTTCCCGACGTCCGACGCTTTCTCGATACGCTGGAAGAGGAGCCGTTGGAAATCACCGCCACCACCGCAGGAACTGCGGAAGTTACTGAGGTGCAGGACCGATCCATGTTGAAATTTGAGAACCATTATGGAACCATATGGAACCCCAAAAATTGCAATTTTCTTGTAGAATTTTTCAGACACAATTTACGTGTCAAATTTTGTAGGTGGAACTTCTGGCAAAAGAAGGACACCACGTAGGATTTCAGCCGCAGCAATTTGGGATTCAACAACATTATAGAATTATAGATTTTCTTTCCAAAATGGTTAATTGTATTGATGTACCCCAACACCAATCGTAAGTGGGTCAACACCTTCGTTTCAAAATGATTATATAGATGCATGCCACAAGAGGTTCTGGGCGTTTTTATTTCTTGAGGGGCTTGGATCGATCCTCAGCACTTTAGCCCAAGCATCAACGACCAGGGATTTTGGGCACTGCTCGTGGGGGTCATACCAGCATCAGTAACAAGAATTGGCTGGGAGGATTCCGCATGGGATGAGCATATCAGCATATCCCATTTATCCATATTCTGGTTGGTGGTTTGGAACATGTTTTATGAATTCCCATATATTGGGAATGTCATCATCCCAACTGACTTTCACTCCATCATTTTTCAGAGGGGTAGGTGGCCCCCACCAACCAGATTATTAACCATATATTAACCATATATTCACCATATATTCACCATATATATCCCATGTATCATGGCACGGTTAATGTTTTCGGAGCCAGGGGCCCTTTTTCCCAGGACGACTCGGCGCCGGAGAGGACTTGCGATGTGCCTTGGCATCTGAAAAAAAACCCAGGATTCAGCCGCTATTCATGGGGGTAGCCTCTGGTAATTTAACATAGCTATTGAAAATGGCCATAGAAATAGTGGATTTTCCCATGAAAAATTGTGATTTTCCATAGTTATGTTAAATTACCAGACTTAGATCATCATCATGATAATCACCATGTAATTAACCCTTAAATCAGCAAAATCTTCTGTTTTTTCACCACAGAAAAATTGAAGATCCAGCCAAAACGGGGATTGAAGTTTTTCCAAGCTGGATGTCTATGAACCAAAGTAGTAGACATGAAACACCAAAAGAAAGATAGGATTGCAGCATCAACAAATGGCTGTGGGTCAATTCTTTTCAGGCTCTTTTTGGACAAATTTGGGTCAATTTGTTTGACAGACAGAGATACAACAGAAAAAACACATATTTCATATTATTTCACCAAAAAACGCGAATGTGACCAACACACCTGACTTGGAAGATTCAACTGCATCAACTGCGTGCCCATGTGAATTTTGAATACAATGATGTGTTCAAGAAAGATGTATACAATATGACAACAGGGACGTGGCCACCAGAATGTCTTATCAACGGATTGTGGTTGGCCGCAAGTCGCTGCCAAACAATGGTACCACTTACTGCTGTTAATCCCTTGCCCACAAGATTAAATCCCCCTTTAAAATACCTTAAAAACCATGGTTTAGTTCTCGAACTTTTCATTTTGGGGCACCAGCTAAAGGGGGTATTTATTCTCAGGAAGGAATTCTTTGGGTAACAGCCATAGCTAAAGCGGCGCCCCTTTTTTCCACTGAGATGTGCGGCACCAAGACGGAAGTCACCCAAGATCCCACAGATCTGGGATGGTATTGCGAACCGTGCCTTGGTCGATGGGCGACCTGGTGTCAGAGTTGCCAGCACTGCGACTGCCCCAACCATGATGGATGGCCCTATGGATAGAATCCACCAAGACTGAAAATGTAGTTGTGGGATGTTGTGGGATGTTGTGGGTATCAGGAAATTTGAAAATTCGGGGATAACCCTGTTGCAATCAAACTGGCACCAGGCAATTTGATATTTTTTGTCCGTATACAGGAACAATCTACAAATGTGATTTTCCAGTGCCGTCTTAGCCCACCGGAGTCTTCCGTTGTCTTTGTCGAGTCTGGCGTCTGCACGCGCGGTTTTGAATGTGGAAGCCTTGCGGAAGGAAAGTGTCGCAGAATCATTGTGGAATCCCTATTGGAGGATCCCTCTGTTAATATCCCGTATAAGCCCCGGGAACCCGGGTACCGCTTTTTCGGCAGATTTTATAAGGGTCCCACTTTTTTAGGGGTAATTAGACAAAAATCCTTATACGATGCTTCCGTTTTCTTTGGGAGTACGAAGACGATAATAACCATTTTGTAAACTACCCCAATTTTGTGGGGCTATAAAATGACAAATCCAAGTAAGAAGACAAAGTTTAACCCGGGGTCACAAACATTCTTTATGTATTTTGATTTTTATTTTTTAAATGCGTCCTCCATCAAAATATATGCTATACTCCTTATTCTGGTTTGCGGTTATGAAATGACGATTGATGACCATTTCTTGTTCTCGATTTCATTTAAACGTTTGTTTGCCATAATATAAGGGGCCATTTTGGCTGAAAACTGCGACAGAATTGCCATTTTATAACGTTAAGAATTGCAATTTTATAAGGCTGGAATGTTGGAATTGCCATTTTATCAGGAGGGGCATCATTTTATTAGAATATTCTTTATAAACTGGCGTTACCCGGGTTCCGGTTTTTTATTTCACGGGGGATATTGTAGGTATATATATATACACACTGTATATATATATACAATGTATATATATATATGTATATATATATATGTATATATATATATACACTATATATGTATATATTTATATACTGTATATGTATATATTTATATACTGTATATATGTATATATATACTGTATATGTATATGTATATATATATTGTCAAAGGGAACTAAACACTAGGACACTTGGGATATACATACCTAACTGTATATCTGGACGCCGTACTGGCTCAAGTCCGTGTGCGAGGAAAAGGGTCCGAGCTGCGCTTGCCATGCATCATCAGTGTCCGGCAATACCAGCATAACAGGTATCGCAATTGATAACTACATCCAGAACAAGGATTCATTTGTTCACAGGTTATCAGCCGTAGGGCTCACTTCTCCCTTCGGGAGAGTGGTACCTGCGTGCTGGTAGCCGGGCCGTCTGAGCAATTGATTGAGGACGCAAAGGACCAATCAGCTCATCATCGCAAAGATGCAAGGCGGTAGCGGAGATTCACGCACCACGCAGTTTACCTTCAACGAGAACCCTGCCATGCCGGTCGAGGAGGTCAATCAGTCTTCCCCTGGTGATACGGCAGACAGTGGTGGGATACGCTCTACCCGAACTACACAGTCCGGATGGCAAGTAACGACAAACAGACGAAGGATATCCACCCAAAGTACGCCAAGATCTTCTCGAAACAGTCCTCGGAGTGATGTTGTCCGCCAAGGGCATCGACCATCTCGAGGACGAACTACTCCTAGGGACAGATCCACCAGGGCCGTGACTGACCGAATTGGTGAGAGGACCGGGGATAGTCGTGTTAAGAGGAGATCAACGGATACTTCTGTGGCTAGTGAACCTATTGCCATGATAGAAGAACTACGGGCACAATGTCAATCCCTACGTAGTCAGTTGAACCAAATGGAAGCATACGCAGCATCTAGAGATCAACTGATTCATGACATCGAGATCAGATTCACCGAGTATCTTCAGGAACACAACCAGAATGTATTTGATGAAGTCAGTGCACTCAATCATAGATTGTCACGTTCCGCGAATGAGGTTGCAGAATATCAAGCAGAATTAATGGTAGCATCTCAGGAAGATGAAGGTGCAACAATACGCATCCAAGACCTTGAGCGCCGAGGTGCTCTAATGGAACATGGTGCACGACGGATCCACCAACGTGGTATGGAGATCCAGGAGGAGTACAAGGATGAAGTACATCACCTTCAAGGACTATTGGGTAATACGGAGGCAAGACTTCAACAACTTCATCAAACCAATGTCTTAACCACCGATATTGCCAATCGACTATACAATGAAGGTCAAGAAATGCAAACAGACTTCCAGAACTCAATCATGGAATATCGTAATCGATCCGAAATGGCATCCTTCTCTAGCAATCAACTTGAAGTGATTAGCCAACAACAGTCGATTGCAGTTCACGAGCTATCTGAACGGAATCAACTATTAAGTGAAGCTTTGGTTCAGTCTCGTAAACAGGCCGAGCTGTATGAAGGCAGTATTGACGAGATCACTAGAGAGTCTAGGAAGAAGGTTTTCGAGGCAAATCAGGCCAAATTAGAAAGTGATCTGAAGCATCGAAACACCGAACATGATACCGTCAAAAGAATTGCATCATACAGGAACCAAGAGGCCGAAGCGATATCACACCTGAGGCTTGAATCACAGGCCAGCTTGAATTCGATCGCGAGGGCCGAGCATTATGAAGAGCTCTACAACAATGAGCAGGAGATGAACTGCGAGTTAAAGGGTGAGATCAAGTTGCAGAACACGAAGTTGCGGAGATCGTTGACTCAGGGTTCTACGACCGACGGTCGTGGCCCCGATGAGATGCTTGTTGAAGATCTACGTAATCAAGCCAAAATTGCTCAAATTAGGGTTCAGGATCTAGATCATGAAGTTCATGAATGTTTACAAGAAAACATGTTGTTGAAAGAAAGATTGGCTGAAGTTGCGGATGTAGGGGCTTCGTCCCTCACCAATGCTGAGGTCCGAACTCTAAGATCTGAACTAGAGAGTGAGCGAAAATTGAAATTGGCTAGTGGTGTTCAACAATATGAGAGATCATGCATGTTCATGGGGGAAATCCAGGATAGGGATGAAAAGATTGGCATCAAGAATTCTGAGATTGTTGACATGAAACGTCACTTAGATGAACTGAGAAGAAGTCTCAAGGATTCTGAAACATCTATGGCTAGGATCAGTCCTGACACACTTCCCTATTCGGCAGGCATTCCCAACTCCGATCTCGCATCCAGACTGGTCATCGACAAACTGGAGAATGACGTGAGTGAGGCTAACTGTGAAAACGCTATTCTGAAATCTTGGGTTTCGCAGATCGACAAGGAGTTGACTTATGAGACAAATGTGGCTCATTCCTATCGTGGGCATGCTGTACCTCCTCAACAACAACAGCATTCTCAATCAAGCAAAAGAATCGCTGATCTGCTGAAAGAGGTTGACAACAAGATCGCTGGCGGAACTGAGAGGGACTATCACAAGCCACCGAGTGGATGGGGCCGTCCGCCTGACCCTGATGGACCTCCGGACCCTTTCGGGCCTAACGGACCAGGACCACCTCCTGAACCTCCAGGTTTGCCTTCAGTTCGAGGATCACAACGCGATTCAGCAGATGATGTCTCCACAGCGGCTTACACTGCAGAAGAAGTACCGAGAATGTCAAGACGAGAGGCTGACAAAGTCTATGTTAGCCCATGGCCAAAGCAACAAAATCTTGGGGTTTGGCAATCAGATCTCATCAAGAGTGTTGTTCTTTCGGCAAATGACGGGGACAAAGCCGCATGGGAAGCATGGCTACAGCCGGCTATTCGACCAAATCCTGACATCGAGCTATTGAATGACAGTGGGGGGCAACGGTATCAGTCCATCGACGCCAAGTTGTCAATTGCATTGTCAAACGTGATAGCCCAAGCCGGTGATGTTGCTCGTCATGTAGCGATCAAATTGAGATTGAGAACACAAAGTCATAGCCGAAGAGGAACCTATGTCATGGGACGGGAAATCTTGGCTATGATTCTGGAGCACTTCAGAACCCCAGGTCAACGAGAAACATCCTTCACCATGGAGCACATCGTATCGATGAAGTATCTCGGTGACTCGAACCTAGAAGTGTTCTACGAGAAATGGATGGAGATGGTATCAAACATGATGCCGGATGACGTACCTCCTGATGATTGGCTTCGTGATGCTCTATACAAGAAGATTCGAAATTCGAGTCTTATGATGTTCGACATCAAGCAGTACGAGTCATGGATGGAAGGAGACCAAAGACGAAATTATCGCTACCTGTTGGACGTCATCGAAAGGCACATCTCCAGAATCAGAGAGGACAAGCATGTGGCCGCCAGAGAGAAGTATGCGAGAGACTTTGCAGGTGGCGGCAAACCTTCAGCTCCTGCTCCGAACCCAACTGCCGCTGCACCGGATGCAAATCCAAAAGCGAAGCCTAAAGCTACCCCCAAGGAGAAGGCAGCGCCCAAGGCGAAGGCCAAGGCCGATGCAGCTCCAGTTCTACCATCACCTCAGCCTAAACAGCATGCAAAAGGAAAAGGAAAAGGTCAAGGGAAAGGGAAGGATCGAGCAAACAGCCGAAGTGCCAGCCCCAGATCCAAGAAGAAGATCCCATGCCATTTCCATTTCATCAAGAAACCATGCAGAAAAGGCAAAGATTGTGAATACAGTCATGATCAAAAGGTGTTCGAGGCGAATAAGAACGCAAAAGGGAATGGTCGGAAGCCAGGAACTCCAAGAAGTCAATCTCCGGCAAACAAGACCAAGAAGATTGATGAACCATGCTGGCATTGGGCTAAGGGCAAGTGTCGGTATGGAGACAAATGCAACAAACGCCACGATCCTCATCTATTTAACACTGCTCCCAACACCGAAGCACCAAGCTCAAAGGCTACTCCTGCACTTGTCCATGATTGGAGCGATGATGAAGAGACGTTCCATAAGATTGCATCGAACGTGGTCAAGAAGAAGGTCAGATTTGATGAGTCTAAGACTCACGTTCAAA